ACTGAATTGGACGACACGATGTCCTGTTACCAATTAATCAAAACTATGACAAAATTCGAGAAACGAACAAACCATCGATTGAGCGCTGAACGATTAAACGTCGTTATGAATGCTGAAAAACACAGCAGTTTACTCAACATAGTGCACCACAACAGCGCGCGCAAAATGACGCGTACTGTCCAATCACAAGCATGACGCGTACACTGTTCAATTAATGCTCAAATTGGGCTGCTGATAGCCAATCACGTTCGAGAATTTTGTTAAAGTTTTGATTAACATCGTATTGCAAACTTCTGTGCGACTGTTTTTTTGATAATATCTTCTCACGAAAAAAAAATCATTACTGTCAACACCAAAAGTCGAAAACAAATTTTGAAACAAACACTTGAAAATACTGGTGAAATGAAACTGATGATAAAATTTCAGCTGTGTTTGTACAATTTCTCTGAACTTTGAATTCTATTTTCTCGAGTTCCCATGGGTAATTGTTTTTGGTGTTATTTCAGGCATAAATTTATATCTTAATCTTCAAGAAAATGTAAAAAGGACTGCAAAATATCTAAAATTATTCTGGCACCAGGATTTTTTCCATTAAAAACTGAAATTGCTCTATTTCCTCTTATTTCTCTTATTTCGTCTTAGCACTTTTGCATGCTTTTCGCAATATTTTTTCTTTGCAATACAACCCGGAAGATTTCGTATTTTGGGGGCTCAAATGCTTGTCAAGGCATGTTGATCTGTTACCAAGCACAGGGTCCCGCCAATCACAACGTGACAAACCCCAAGGGATCCACAACACGTGCTCAACGAAGGCCAATCAAAGCCCGCCAACGCGGTCCATTGAAGGTTGTCAGTTCCAACGTGTCTCAGGGAATCGATCTTCTCCTCTGGCCTGGTCTTTACTTCGTCTTCAACGTTCTGCTTCAAGATGATTATTTCCGCGGTTTTAATTCCTTTATTTGCATCGGCGGTTTTCTGCTCAGATGTGATTGAGCTCGGAGACAGCAATTTCAGTGATGGCGTGAAAGACGAAGAGATTATGTTGGTAGAATTTTTCGCTCCATGGTACGTGAAGACCCTAAAGTTGCTTTCGATTAGCCAGGTTGAATAGTGCCTGATATTATTATCCCAAATGGAGTGGATTCACACAGCTTCGTTTCATAACCTTTCCTTTATCCAACCAGGTGTGGACACTGCAAACGACTGGCTCCGGAATACGAGACAGCAGCTACAACCCTCAAGAAAGAAGACCCACCGATCCCTCTAGCAAAGGTAAGAGAAGTTCACTCCTGAGAACATGTCCGTCTTCTATCTCTCTGATCTGGTACATTTTTTGCTTTACTTCGCATTCTTGTTCAATCAGTGTTAATCGTCTCATAATTGTTTGTTTTGAAATCTACATGGTTGTTTGGTCCCTGCAGCTGAGTCATTCAACTAGACCTGAAAGAAATGCCAAGCAGTTTGAAAACAAATCTGTTCATTTCATTAGAGAGAATATGGTTAAATGAATTATAATTTATTAGAAATCACATATTATTAAATGTTGCCTCTCGCTTAAATTTCTCAAAAATTAGTATTGGTATTTTTTTGACATAAAATATGTATGAAAAGTATTTATATTATATTGATCATATGACATGATTTCTTGTTGGTTGTGTTGTGGGTTTGAATCAGGCCAACAAACTATGTGGTTATGATGTACCATTGCACTTGTGGGCTGTGTACTTTAGGGTTGTCAGAAATAGGCGTTTGTTGGAAAAATCACCATGGACATTGTGATGTTGGTTGGGGATGGCAAAATCAACCACCTGCTCTAGTTAAAATTGAATTCTCTACAAATTAAGTCACCTTCAAATCGTTGTGACTCAACCCTAGTGCTCATCACATGAACATAAGAATCCTCATTAACACTCGCCAAGGCAGATTTGGGAGGGGAGAGGGTGAGGACTCAATGCATGATATTTTTTAGAAATTTGTTGATGTTCTCTAGCCTGTGTTGCAGATGGAAATCTACCTGTAAATAACCTTCGCGAATTAGTGCACAAATCCTTGTCTGAGACCCCCAACAAATTACCAGGATCTGAGTAGCCATGTGTGATTGGTCTCTTCATAAAGTAATTGTTTAACTGGTGATGAATTGATCTTATTGGGTATCAAAGAATCTCCTGCTAACTTTAACCGGAAAGGATCCCCAAGTGGAAATAATGCATGTTAGCAAGCAGAAGTAGAATGCTGCCTTTGAAGCAGTGATCTCAGGTTGAAGTGACTGATCTCCTCCCTGATCATTCTTCCAAGAGAAAAAGTGTTTTTTAATGTACCCACTGGCTTTGGAAAGCTTTTTAAAATATTTCAATGCCTTCTGATCATTGCGGATATTGGAAATGACAAACCCCATGGTTCAAGCACTGTTGTTCTTATCTGGTTGCAATCACTGATGGAGAACGAAGTTCAGTACTCCAAGTCTTTAACCAATTGGGGTATTCCAGCTCTATGTCCATCACAAATGACGAAAACGTAGAGATCATAAAACAAGTTTTAAATGGAAACTACATCTTGGTGTTTAGTTCGCCTGAATGGTCGTGTCAAATTACACGGACTCCTATGGTTCGTGACATTCGCACGTTTTTCTGTTCTTTTTTTAATTTCAGTCTCTCAGCCTTTTTTGCCTCACACTTGTTTGTGAAGGGCATTTTATGCTGTGTTATTAGGAGAACTTTTAAGCGGAGTAGAACCATTTGACCGTTTGACCATTTGGCAGGTCAACATAGGCCTGCATGGTTTCTGTTTTTATCTGTCGCTTTGTATTTTTTTGACACCTCAATAAATGTTTTGCAATCGTTTGTGGGCTCTGTGGAAGTATTGGCAATAACCAATTAGAGATGAAAAATATTTCAAACGCGACTTCCGGTGTTCATTTTCTTCGGTGGGGGTATAGAACAAAGATTTGTCCGCTACTTCACAGATGCTAGTAACCTGCGGTAGGTAGTGTCTGTGACGCAGGCTAACATTCTAAAGTCCTATAAGGATCTGGCAATTTTGCAAATTCTGACATCAGTTGTATTATTCTGTTACAATTTTATGAGGTAGAATGCAATTGACTTTTTTACCAATATCAAGCAAATAATATCAACAAGTTTTTGTATTTTTCATATAAACCAAAAACCAGCCCTATAAATCAATTTACCAGGCCAGATTTAGTAACTGCACGAGTTTTTTTTCAGGATCCATTGCAAACTCATAAAAGTATAAAATCCTAAACTTGCAAAAATTTATAGAGAAATGTTTTCGTGGGGGAAATAGCCAACTGTTCTGCCTCCGGCCAGTTGGGATTTTTAAGCCTGTTATGTTTATTTGCAATATTTGTTTTTCCAGCTCAAGTGGCATGCCTGAAAACTAGCCAGTTGTAGCTAAGTGCATCAACCAATATAAACATTCAACATTTAACATTTTAACATTTAACAAAACAGATAAGAAACAATCCATCTTTTCTGGGAATGCTCAGTAACGAAAACCTTCTTGGGAAGGGTTCATTTTTTTTCATTTCAATCCATTTGATACCAGCCTCGCACATTTTGGATATCTGTGAATGTTTAGGTTTTAGAGGAGAGAAAGATGGTATTTTAGTAAGCTACTGTTTGCTCCTTACAAGGTATTATAATTATTTATTGCTGCAAATTTAAGAACATCTGTCCATCTATCAGAGAAGAGGGGGGGCAAGGGTATTTTTGTGACACCGTGATCCTGTTTTTTTTTGTGCTCTGTGAATCGTGATTTGATAAAAAAACTGTTCCGTGAATCGTGATTGAAGTGTATTCTGTGAGGCGTGAAATGCAAAAGTCCTTGGCTGTGAATTGTGAATAGATAAGAAATAAATCGTGAGTGTCTAAAGTTGAATTCGTAGCTGAATTTCACTGCATTGTGATCAGATTTTTTCCATGACCTTAGTGATTCGTGAAATTGAAAATTTACTATTGTAACTTCATGACAAGACCCCCCCTTGCCCCTCCTCAGAGAATGTGCGTGACAGCTGAAGTATAATCTAGACATTGAAAAACAAATATCCATTGTGATCGATTCACGAAATAAATTTCAACAGAAGTGGCACAAAATACTTCATGCACTTCATTGCTATATAGTTTGCAGGCAGGTTCCAAATGTGAGTCTGCT